TATTTATGTTAATTCATTCAACCATTACCCTTTCCCTGTGTTCGCCCTTAAAGTGGAATAATACTATGATATATACCTCAAAATGAACACTACATCAGGGAACATGGATAGGGACAAGATTTAGGCCACGCTGAGATAAACTATAGGCCTTTGTGAAAAACCACAGCTCTCAGTACGGCAATGGGTTTGCCAGTGCATAAGGCTCCAGAAAAATAGCTGAACCTTAACTTTTGCCAGACCACAACGCAACATCATCTGGCAAGCAGCAAATATAAGCAAGCAAACATTGGCTGATTACTTTGTGACATAAATTCCATATGTTTATATTTCAAGTGTTAAGAATAAAATGATTGCCAGAGAGTTGAAAAAAATCATACACTGCTGTGGAGCGTTTTGGTTTCTGATCAGCCTTCACACTCATGGAACTTTTGCTCAAACTAGACTTTGTGGATCATATTTTATGTACCTGAAGCAACATCATCAACACAGTCCCTTGCATCAAATGACCAGTGTGTAGTATTTAGTGGCATCTAGCATAGTTGCAGAAACTCCCCAGCTTCATCCTCCCCTTTCAAGCTTGAAGGAGAAACTATGATGGCTGTGATGTGCGTGAACGTCCCCTCTAGAGCCAGTGTCTGGTTTGTCCATTCTGTGCTGCTGTAGAAACATGGCGGTTCAACATAGCAGACTCCATGGAAGGCGACCCGTGGCACTTCTAAGGTAACGATTCTCATTTTCAGGTCATTATACACTAATGAAAACGTAGTTATGCATATTATATCCCATTTCTGACAATAGATCCTCTTAAATATTACACACTAGACCTTTAATGCGATGTTTTTGGTCTGAATGCAGGCGTGCTGGTGGCTCTGTGAGGTTGTACTTTGGCACAGCATTGCTTGGAACTAAATGCTAATGCCAGAATGCCGACATGCTCACAATGACAATGCTAACATTAACATTAACATTAATATTCAGCAGGTAAGGTTCACAATGTTGACTGCCTTTGTGAAGTACAGTTTGCTGATGGGAATGTCATGATAATTTGCAGGTGTTCGCTTATAAACCAAAGTATTGGACAAAAAAATACTTTGTGGTGGTAAATGAAAATCCAGGAGATCAAGTTATTAATTGATCCTTTGGAGGATGTGAATGTGTGTGACGCACTGACATTGCCATCCCTCTAGGTTTAAGTGTACACTTATGTCTGGAAAAGCTTCTAGATACAACCTCTCTTTGCCATTGATGCAAAAAGCTAGTCATAGCACACACATATCTTACAATCTAGTGTTGAAAGTGTGGTTTTATTTTTGCATTTGTTGCAAGTGTTTTTATCTTCTTTTTCCCAGTTGATAGTTTGGGATCCTGGCCAAGTTAGGAAATTACTTCACACTGCACTGCTCTGCTGCGGAGCACTAGCGTGATTCTCAGAAATACGCTGGCACAAAAGACCAATTAATATGCATGTTGTTACTCTGATATTTATCGCCCCAGTAACACTGCCAGTTTATTACTGTGGTTGTTGGGGTTTTTTTTTCTCGTGTACCTGGCCTACAGCTTGGCCGGATTGGCCCTCAGATACGGCAGCAGAAACAGCTGGTTGTCAGGGGTGACCACAAGAGTGAGCGAGCGAGCGAGCAAGTGAAGAATAAAGAGAAATTTATTCTACACCTTTTTTTGAGTGGATACTCTTTTTGCTCATGGGCTATCTATCTATCTATCTATCTATCTATCTATCTATCTATCTATCTATCTATCAAATGACTGTTCTTTTTCTGTCTATTCTTTAGAAATACAAAGGGTTTCCATGGGAACTAAATCAGTTGGATCAGTGTTGGGATTTAGCTTTTGGTTGTCAGAGTTGAGAAAAAGGGTTCCTCCCCGTAACCACCAGACTTCAGCAACAAAGTGCCCATCAAAAAAAACCAAAAACTGTCATGTAGGAGTTTTGGATTCCTGTGATAAAATTCAACTTCAGATCATACTCAGTTCTATTCAAGTGTACAAAAATATGTGAAAAGGGTTTTTTACCAGAGGAACCCACAATGGTTTATTCCAGTACGACTAAGCGAGTAACAGCATACAAAAATATCTGATGGTTGACACATTCTCATTGTCTCTTTGTAGATATTGTAATATTTCCCATCTGTAGTTTCATATTAAACAAAGGATAACTGGTGTTATTTTGTAAAAGCCAATAATGGAGTGATTAAAAAAAATCTACTAACAAGTATTGTCTTTGTAGCCAAAGCATGCCACTTAACTCCATCAAAACACATGCAAGATACCATTTAATTGATTGACTTAGCCAGTATAGTTTATCCTGATGTGACTCCACAGCTGCATTTTTTAATCCTCCAGAGCACAGTTTTCTACTGGGCAGACGTCATACAGCATGCAAGGATATAGTTTCATTTTACACTGCTGAAAGCAATAACTTACTGCTCATTGCAATTACAATATCACGTATGAAATGCAACAATGGAGTTCAATTGTTAAGAGGTATTAGCTACATCAGCCTATGGTTGCACAGAGAGTACTCGTTTGCAGGATCATTTTATTGGTGGTTTTGGTTATTTCAGGAGATTTGTAGATAATAATGAAAATATAAAATATATTAAAAAAGCACCTCTTTATAACCACATCTTCTGTTTTAGATCCTGCAGAGCTTTAAATGCTGGACAGAAATAATTTAGCCTAACAAGATTGAAGATGGAGATCACTGCTTCAATTTAAAATCAACTCCAGCAGGGGAAAACAGTTGGTGTGAGTGTGTGCATTCATGCGTTTCTCTGAGAGTGTTCACGTGTCTTACAACAGAGCTATCCACTCGTGCTTAACTACCAGCGTAAAGTGTTTGTGAGACTGAAATAATGTGTGTTGTTTCCCCTCATTTAAATGCCCTCCACTGTAATTGGTGTAATCTGTAGGTTTTATCGAGTGCCAGGTCTGTTTTTATAATGTTCTTTTATGTGCCTCTGCAGAGCTGCCAGCCCATGCCAACTGCCTCTCCTTACATGTGCATCAGACCTTGCTACTTTGATGCTGATTGGATTTTGTAAGAATGTCCAGACTTGGTATTTCTCTGGTAGTCCAGTTCTAATGAGCCATATTATGTGAGGTTGGTATCTGTTTGTGCACTTGGACAAAGGCTGCACCATAAGTTGTATTAATTTGTTCTACCCTACAACCTTGGGGCTATTCTGCTCTCTCTAATGACTAAGCAGAAGTTGACAGAGAAGATAAAATAGCAGCTGTGTGTTATTCGCACACACACAATGTACAGCAAGATCACAGGAAGGATTTCAGGGCTGTTGTGTGCTTTTGATCATATTTCACACATTCAGAAAACTCTGAATATCTACAATTAAATGTCTTTTCTAAAGGAAACGTTACTTGATAACTTGTATTCGAGTGATGCCTGTGCATGTATTTACTGCCTTAAAAAAACTCCCACAATCAACCTACACATGCATTTTCTGCAATCAGACAGCCACTCCATCAAAGGCCAGTCTCACCAGTGTCAGGCTGAGTGGCATCTAGATAGATGTGGCGGTATGGCTTTTAAAATCAACCTTTAAATCAGCCATCGTCCACTCTGAAACACAATGTATAATGGAAAATATTGATATTTTTTGGCAGATGCTGAATGCTGAATGTACCGCCTCTTGAATGAATCATGGCATTGAAAAGAGTGCTCTCTCCCTATCTGACTGCCGGCCTGCCTTGGTGCTCTACCTGTCTCATTCCCTCCATTTGCTCTTGTCCAGTGTCTCTATAACTTGCACAGCCACATGATCAAATCAGAGAAGCCTGGTCATCTAAGTAATGGCTTTCCTTCTGTTGATTCCTCCTGGGTCCATGGCCCTGCGTTCAGTGATGTATGCTCCATACAACGGCACTAGACAGCTCATCTCTCTCAGCCACAGGCACCTCTGAATAAGCACATCCACCCTGGGCCATTCTCTGAAATGCACTTTGGGCCTGCTGCTGCCCCTGTCATTGACATCCACAGAAGGAGAAAAGCACTATAACCATTTTAGAGTCTTGTAATGAGGCTTAGTGGAGGTTTGAGGGGAGGAATCCTCTGTTGGCAGAGGTTGTAAGCTGACCTTTTCCCTTTTCTGTCGGGGCAGCCACAGAAAAGGTGGCAACAGTAACATTCCATCTTTAGTTATATGATTGTCAATGTTCATTTTCACTCTCACCCTCTGTGTGAACCTCTCATAGCTCAAACATGTGTTTTCTCAGTGTGCAACTGTTCAATCTAATTATGCAGCAAATCAGTTTCTTTCTCTGTCCCCAGGCTTCTACCCCAAATTACCACCCTGCTTGACTTGGTGTAACACCACACTCGCACCCAAGAGCTCTTCCTACTCTCCAGCTACAGTAAGCACCCTTTATTCAAACTCCTCTATGGCATTTCATCTAACCTGCCACACCGTGAAATACAGCCTTCAGACTTTAATTGAAAAACTGGCCAAATGTGGTGTGTGGGATGAATATATGAATTACAAATGAAGCACTGAGGAAAAGCAAAGCCAAATGGTCACCCCCAAAAAACAGCAGAAGCCCATAGGATATGGCACTCAAATAAATTATATGAAATGCCATGGACTTTCAATCCCTCTCTTTCTGTCTGTCTCTCTTTTCTTTTTCTTCTCTCCTGCTTACCTCCCTGTTGTTCCTCCTTTATTCCAACTGACATTCCCCATATGTCTGATGGATATCGGACCATGTCCTCCAGGACACATATTCCATTATCATGCTGCCACAGTGCTCATCCACAGACCCATCTCCCTTCTAATCAATGACCATGCAGCACAGCAGGAAAGCACAAACAGGACACTCACAGCAAAACCTTCAGTTAATAATCAAACCAACACATCAACAAAGATGACAATCAAAGAAGCAAAGTAATCTATATATCAGACGACACATTCTGCAGATCAATATAGATGGAAATCCAGCAGAGCAGCCCCAGCTGTGGTTCCTCTTACCTGCGTGTCTCTGTGGTGATACTCCTCTCTGTGGCCGTGTTTGGTGAAGACCCTCGGTCTACACAGCCATGCCCTCCTATATGGGCATGCATCTGTGGGGCAGATCAGAGGTCTGCCTTGTATCTGTCAGCCTGGACAAGAGGAGGGATCAAGGATCAGAGAGTCCTCCCGGCAAGCAGCCCCGTCTAGCGCATCTCCTTGTCTCTCCCGCTCTCCCGGGTCATTCCAGCCAGCCCCTCAGCAACTGCAGAGCCAGGGAGCGAGCGTTCAGGGGGGGATGGGAGGTGCTTAGAGGACTGAAGCGGACATGGAACGGCGAGCAGAGCACCTCCTCCTCCTACATGTCTGACTGCAGCCAGTGGACATGCTACAGCTGGAGCCTCCGTCAACCTCCCGTTTTCTCCCTGTGCATGTGTGTGAATGAGTATGTGTGCGTTTATGTGTGTTTGCGCGTCAGTGCTGGCTCCACTCTGTGCTGTGTGTGAAAACAGAGTCTCTTCCCTCACTGTTAATGCTGCCGGTGGCTCCAAGATGCTGAGGCAGTTGGAGAGATGGAGGGAGAGAGAGAGAGAGAGAGAGAGAGAGAGGGAGAGAGAGAGGTGTGTGTGTGTGGGAGTGGGTGAGGGAGAATGGCCATGGAGACTATAGGAAAGGTTGTTTTCCCTCCTGCTCCATCTATCGGTATCAATTTAATCAGGGATGCATGGTTAATGAGTCACCCATACCCATACGCATGTGTGTGTGAGACACACAAAAACAAAGAGACAAACGCAAAAAGCATGCATTAACATGCATTATCTACAAAAGCAGATAATGCATGTTACCTATTTTGCATGTTAAATGTGTGCAAACAGTCCTTTGTATGTTAATGAGCATGTTCTAAATTGCTGGTTGAGAACTTTATAGCCTACACATACACACACAACCAAACATACACAGAAGATAGCAACATCTAAATAGCAGCAGAAGATCTCCTCAGGCTATCAGTATATCAACAGCGCAGACAACCTACAGCCTTAACAGGCTACCTGCCTCCCTGAATGCCCAGGGGGATGATATATCACACCTCAACAGTGCAGAGGATCCTCTGGAGAGGAGAGGAGAGAAAAAACCTTGCAAGGCAGCTGGATTTGCAAGATTACGAAATCGGAAGATCTCGTGAGGATCCTTCTTGCTTTAATCAATGCATTTGTGACCAAACACTGAGTGGTACCGGACCAATCAGGAAGTCATGACAGCAACCGAGGTGGGCGCAGAGAGAAGGCACTGTTTGTTGAGCAATGGTAGCTTCTAAAGAGGTTAGCATAGATGCTGCTAGTATCACTTATATCACAACTGCAGAGTATTTCTTTATCAAAAGAAGAGCAAAGAACGGCACTGAAGGCTTTTTTCCCTTTCTCCCAACTGGCTTCAGTAAGAGTTTAACTTACGTTATGTCGTTCTTTGATCTGATTGGTTGAAGTTTACCTGTGATAGATGGTGACAGACATATGGTTCATCCAATCACCTGCCAAGTATTTTTGCCAAGTGCCTGCCCTTTTCCAAACGTTTCCAATGATGACTTCCCAGGTGGTTCTGTGTAACAAACCATTTGGCGCAGTTGGTTAGGAGAGGAGAGGAAGGTTGAATAGATATAAAAGCCCTTGCAGTGAAACATACCTCCAAGAAGAACCCAAAAAGCAGGTGGCTCATTTGATTAAAAAGAGAAACAGGGAGAGAAAGAAAAGAAAATGAGAAAGACAAGAGGTGAAATGTTGAGGCTCAGTTTCACTGACTGTGCACTCTGTTTTGTTCTCTGAGCATGCTGTCTGCTCTGCTTTGACTGCCTGAAGAATAAAAGAGGGAGAAAGGGATAAAATGGAGAAGAATGAAGATCTGGAGATAGGAAGAAAAGCTTTTGAAATTGACAGAGAAAGAAATAGAGAGAGGGAAAGAGAGAAATGCAGGCACTAAGACATTTTCACATCTGATAAAAAAAGCGAGACATTTACAAAGCACAAGAGAGGCATACTAAACAACCTCTTCATCTTTTCTTGTTTTCTTAGATTAGTCTTTCCTTATCTTTGCATCCTCTTTAGTTATGTCTTTATCTTTAGCAGAATCCTTTCTTCCCTCTCTGTGTCAGGCTTCGAATTAGGCAAGCCCTCCATTCGGCTTGAATTCGTGATTCGTGTAGAAACAGCAGAAAAAGACAGCAGTTACCCCTGTCACCCTGACAGAAAAGGCTAGAATGTCTAGACAGACAGACATATTCGTAAGCAGTGGAAAGACTCTCTCCTTGTAGGATTTGGGCCTGCAGACAGCCAATTGCAGAATTATATGACAGGACAGTCAAAAGACGGTAACTCCCTTTCACACCAACTTTCTGTCTGTGCTTTTCGTGATAATCAACACCCTTCTGTGTTACAGAAACACTGATTCTCCCAGACGTGAGTACATGACCAATCACAAACAAAAACAGTTCATTTTGTACCTGCTGTGGCAAATTCAAATTATGGAAATTACTTAAACGTGGAAAGGATGTCATGGATGTGAAGGAACTGATTAACAACAGTTTAAAATCATTAACAATGCACCCATTGTAAATCATCCCACAGCAAAGCTTAGTGTATCCTTACTGTATTAAGACCTGATCCCTCAGGGGAAACAGTCCTGCACTGACCTGGGGTCTGCTTTTGAAAGCACTTCCTGACTCTCGGCAGTGTTAATCCAACTCTGTAATCTGCTGCTAAATCAGGTTTTAGGAGTGAGCGGAGGCAACGACTGAGGCAATCTCATGAAGAAGAATCAGCCTCATCCTGTGTGTGGGGGTAATTATGCATGAGGAAGACGGTTAGTGCTGCGTTGGATGTTGGCAGAGAACTAACAGATGGTAATTCCCTCTCACTCCTGCACTTCTGGCAGACCTCTGGATTACAAATGCCCTGGTACCTATATTCACTCATACACATTACCTACTCTCACGCATACGGATGTGACACAGCTACAGCTAGTGCTAGTTACCGTCCCAACTTTAAGAGAAACTGGAAAATCCTTCAACATAAGCAGGATCGTGCCAGATAGAAGTTCTCATAATTGTCCCTTTAATAAAATAAGTTGCAACTAGTGGCTTTGTTTATGGTTAATTCACTAATTATTAATGCCTTTAAGATCCGCAATTAACTATTAACATCCACTTTAGAGATTCCAAGTTTCTAATAAGCGATGAAATTTGTAGTTAGAGTTGTTGTACTGTAGTAATCCAACCTTCTTATAAAGCATCAGTTAGTGTTAATAAAGAATATAAATAAGCTCAAGGGTTACGATGCCAGGATAACTCACGGGGTAGAGCTGGTGTCCCACGTACCGAGTCTGTGTCCTTGCTGCAGTGGCCATGGGTTCGAATCCGACCCCTTTGCTACATGTCATCCCCCCCTGTCTCTCTCTCCCTTTAATATCTTCAGCTTGAAAAAAAAAAAAAAAAGCCCCCAAAAATATACATATATTAAAAAAAGCTCATGTGTTTCTCACCTCCTAGTCGTAACCAAAGTTGGTATGTCATCTGCAATTACATTTACCATTAAGCCAGTAATAAAGGATTCTTTCAATAAGCCAAATCTGTACTTGTAAATGTTAAAACGTTTACCATGTTGATTATTATGACCCACACACCTTACATAGGTGGAAGCAAACACAGAACAACAACTAGCATGAGCAGAAAAAAATAACTAAACTGGCCACAGAAATTCAGCAACTAAACCAACCAAATAAGACTCAGTAACCAGGACCTCAGGAACGACATGGTTCACATACTGTAGTACGGTTGACAGTTGAGGCAAATGATGAGGCTAAACAGTAGGGATGTCCGGATCAAGTTTCTGCCTCTCGTGAGCTCCAGTAGAGTTGAGCCTGGCAGTGCCGAGGGATGATTTCAGCAGCTCCATCATGGACGTTACAAACCCAGCCAAGAGACTCCAAAATACAGGAAAGCACAAAAACATCAGGTTGTCAACAGCCTTCAGAAGGCCAGTAGTAACCGCCACAGACTCAACAGTCAGATGGTTGCCTGCATATATACTCACACAGTCTCTCTTATAGTGAAGAAGAATAACTAACTCCTTTTTCTGGTTTGTTTAGGTGAGTCAGGTGAGGGGTGGAGCTTTGTCGGACTTTTGTTTATATATACACATCCCTTCGGGGATAAATAAAGTATTTCTATCTATCTATCTATCTATCTATCTATCTATGTATTTATATACAGCACATTTCAAACTATAGTGTTCCTTTTTTCCATTAATTACCAAATATTTAAATGTCTGTACTATCTCCCATATACAGTAAGTCCTTCCATTACAGTCTTTTAAACACGCCCTAGCTCTGGAGCTGGATTTCAACCATTTTGTCATATTAAGTTATTATTGGCTTGTGTATTGGTTTTGTCTTTCAAAGCTTTTTTAAAGGTTTGTTTGTGTTTTATTAATCCATCTATAATTGTCACAATAATATTTCAGATTTCTTCTGTGAACTAATGGTAGTGTGTTATTGCTAGTTAAATGTTTCTGTGTGTTTCTGCAGTCAAGGTGGTGTGTCTCCTTTGAAACTTTGGCATGGGCATTTAAAAATAAAAATAAACTTTTGCTGATGAGATGCTACTACACATCTGTGTCCTGTTTACTCATTTTATTGAATCTGCCCATTTCTGCAAACACAAGATGCTGACAGCAGTGTTCTTTTTATGGGACACCAGTGTGTTTTATTTTCATAAAACACACAATGGCATGTTGTGCCATTGTTAGCATGGTGTTAATTTGTAGCTTAGCTTTCTCAGTATAGCTAGTTGGGAAACTAAGAAACAAATAAGTTACAGAGACAGTGGAGTTATGGAGACATGGACCTTTGACAGATGCTCAGATATACAGAGTTTGTATACGGAAAGTTCATAGACCACTTTGCTTGGAAGTGTATGCCTCTGACATGAGCCAGTTGGTCTTGGAGGCATTTCTGGACTACAGGCATGTAGCAAAGACAGAGGACAAGTTTGGCACTTTATGGCTGGCCTGGCCCTGGTCTTAAAGGCCAATAGCTTTGAACAGGGTGCCACTGATTTGGAAAAAGATTTCACTGTTTCGGAGAATGCCGGGAAGGCTTTGCAGAGACACTCAGAGACAAAAGAAAAGATTAACTTACTCAACTCAAAGCTTCCTCAGAGTGCGACCAGAAACAGGACACTGTTACTTCCACCTGCAGACATACTGCACACTGAATGTAAGTTTAAAAAAAAACGTTTGTCAAAGTGAAAGAACATTTCAGTGAAATTACTAGAGGAAGGAGTGGAGCCGTGACCGGCTGCTGTGTTTCAACTTCACTGAAAGAGAAAATGGCTTCCCTGTCAGAAAAGAATCTCTGCTCTCCGGTCTGCTGCGAAATCTTTGTGACTCCTGTCCTCCTGTCATGTAGCCACTGCTTCTGTGAAGAGCTGGTGGAAGTAGAAATTGACTCGTGAGTGTCCACTTTGTAAGAGAAGATTTGGAAAGGAAAGAACCGCCTG